AATTGTTTACATTGTCTGCCTATTTTAACTAAAAAAAAACAGTTGGTGCCTATAAGGTCAAAATTATGGATCACATTTCCCACAGGAGCTCTTTAATGTAAGATCAGCCTGGAAATGTTGATTCCGAGCAGTAGCTCCTGAACCTACGTGTACATCCAACTCATCTGAAAGGCTTATTATAAAACAGATCGCTGGGCCCATTCCCACACTTTCTGCCTCAGTAGATAGAGGTGGGGAACCTGCGTGTCTAACAAGTTCCCAAGCGATGCTCATACTCTGGCCCCTGGACCATACTTGGAGAATCACTAGTTAAACCACTAATCACAGCCCTAATCCACCCAGGTGATGGAGAAAGGAAAACAAACTCAATTTAAAAATGAAACTGGAGGCAGAAGCCTCTGCTTCAGAAATACCTATATGATGAAAACTGTGTTTAATGAGATGTTTAAACAAAATTAATGGCTTAATAATTCTCAGATTGGAGTCGCTTCATTTAATTTTAAGTAAACATTTTTTTTTCCTCAAAGAACAGTTAAAAAATTTTAAAATAAGGTCTTGAAAAGCAAGGTTTTCTTTTTCTTTCATATTTTCACCTACATACAGAATAATAATAAGTACTCAACATCATTAGTCAACAGGAAAATGCAAATAAAAAACATAATGAGGTACCAGTTCATACACACCAGGATGGCTATAATTAGAACAACACCCCCAGAACAGAAAGTAACAAGTGTTGACACAGATGTGGAGAAAAGGGAAACCCCCTGCACATTGTTGGTGGGAAGGTAACATGTTTTCAGCCTCTGCAGAAAACAGTTGGGCAGTTCCTCAGAAGTTAAACACAGAATTACTACATGACCTCGCATTTCTGCTCCTGGGTACATGCCCCAAAGAACTGAAAACAGGTACCCAAGCCACTGCATGCCCATAATGTTCACAGCAGCACTGTCTACAGCAGCCAAAAAGTGAGACACCTCAAATGTCCATCAACGGATAGACTGCGTGTGGTATATACGTGCAATGCAGTATCATCCAGCCTTGGAAAGGAATGAAGTGCTTACACGTGCTACAACACACAGGACCTCCAAAACATTAGGCTAAGTAAAGCCAGACCCCAAAGGTCACATAGGGTATGATTCCACGCACATGAAATATCCAGAATAAACAAATCCATAAAGATAGAGAGTAGAGGAGTGGTTGTCAGAAGCTAGGGAGGGGGGCAAATGGGGAGAAGCTGCTGGATGAGTATCTGGAAGGAGAGAAATGTTTCAGAACCAGACACAGACGGTGCTTGCACAACAGTGTAGATGTAGTAAATGCCACTTTAAAGTGGTTCATTCTGTGGTATGTGAATTTCACCTCAATAAACTATTTTTTAAAAATAGCAACACGTCATAACAATGCCAAGACTCCAAGTGAGTAAGATCTCTTCACAAGAGGAAGTTAAATAATAAAAATATGTGAAAATGTGTAACTTCACTAATAAAAAAGAAATGCCAAATGAAACAATAATGAGGCTTAATTTTAAGCCTGTTAGGGTATCGAGTTTTTGTTTTGGTTTGGTTTGTCTTCCTAATGAAACTCAGTTCTGGTGAGGATGTGAAGAATCAGTTACTTTTGTTTGTTGCTGGTAATTTTGTAACTTGAGACAAACCTTTTAAGAAACAATTTGGCAGTATTAGAAAACCATTAAAAAGTTGATTCCCTTTAACCTAGGAATGCTAGTCTTACGCAGTATTCCCTAAATCCTGTCCCACAGGACCACCCCTCCAAAGACTCAGTGGCCACCTAAGGCATCTTACTAGCCTCTGTCTTCCCCACCGGCCTACGAGCTTCTCCAAGGCAGGGCCCCATTCTGTTCTCTGCGTCCCCAGCACAATACCTACCTCATCAGTTTAGAATCCATGTTGAAACTGAATGGATGCAGATTAGAAAGAAAGACAGGAAGAAAACAATTATGGAAGGACTGTTACTGTTTTTTTTTTATTTTCAATTTACATAAATGTAATAGTAAGTGCATTTATTAAAAGAATAATATGAAGGTTACTATTTAGGTGATCATTGATAAATATATTAGTGAATAGCTGATAACAAGACTATGGGACAAGAAAGGAGAAAAATCTCTCAATATTGCACCAAAATATCTGGTCCTGTAACTTATTTTGGCTTATTATAATTACATTATATATCATAAATGAATAGCTAAACAGAAAACAGATTCTTAGTGACAGAGAGGTAAAAGAATTTATCGCAGGTGTTACAATAATTCAGCCATTTTTTAAAAGTATTTTACCCTACAGAAGAAAACAGAGTGGTCAGCAAACACTTCAACCTGAACCTCTTTTCTCTCCTAAGTGCCAAGAAATGTTTGCCCTTTGGATTATTTGGTTTTGGAAAAGAGTTTGAGAATTTAAGTAGATATGCCAGTAAAGAATGCTGGCGAGAGGAAGAGGGCTTAACAGATTATTATCCAAACAAACAAACCCACCAACACCGCCTCATCCTCCTACCTACAGTTCAAACAGCACAACCATTGTGGACGCCATCACAGATAAGAGCTATTCAAGGACCAGGACTGGAAGGTACTGGAGGATTCACTCAGGAGAACGTGCTCCAGCCAGAACAACAAAGAACTAATTTACAGTAAGCACACCCCTCTGGATGGCTAGAACCTTGCTGTATTCAACCTCTATCTTAAAGAGGTTAACTCAATGATTAAAATGATCCTGTATTACTTTTAACAAAATCTAAGGAAGTAGGAAGATGTTTTTTAATCCCTATAACCTTATTACATAGGGATAACCCCAGTCAACAGTGTGTTTCATTCCAGGCTATGCTTTTCTTAAAAAAACATATACACCCATATACTGAAGCACATATAATATTATGCACATTTTTACAAGATTGGTAATAAACTAAATAAACTATACACTATAGTTTTGAGCCTTGCCTTAAAAAAACCCAAGTAATACTTTCTCATCATGAAAAATATATAAAATAGGATAAACTATTAGTAAAGTCCTGCCTTCATTTCCCTATAGAAAGATATGTATTCCCATACGTTGGTATCTTTTCAGTCCATCTATAAATTCACATGCTATTACAAAACGTATGAATAGGCTCATACTATGTGCATTTTCTATGACTTTATTTAGTTTGCAATACAAGTTAGAAATTTTTCAATGAGCATAACTATACATTTACCTCAATCTTTTTTTTTTTTTTTTAAAGATTTTATTTATTTATTTGAGAGAGAGAGAATGAGAGACAGAGAGCATGAGAGGGAGGAGGGTCAGAGGGAG